TTGCTGCTACCTTCTTTTGTTGGTGGTGGTGGTTTCATACTTCACTTCCAGCTCAGGCATACGCATCATCAGCTCCCTACTGCCTGCTGGATCACCTCCCCCCCACGCTGTGTGTCTCAGGTTCCCGTATATTGGCTCTTGATCCCCTCTTTATGGTGAACCCAACTTTGAGGCTAGAGGACCTTGGTGTTCATCGCAGCTCTGCTGTTGACTTCTTATGAAGTTTTGAGCAATTTCCCTTAGTTCCCCAAGCTTCAACAGACTCCATGGGAATAACAAAATATATCTTTCTTGACTATAGTGAAAATTCAATAGAATATCTCTCTCATTTACATTTACATTTCCTTTGCTCACATTAGTACTTAGACTGGAATGGCTATTCCTTCCCTCTGCTCCTCAAATACCTCTAGTAAGGTAGTAGCCAGATGGAGACCACTGGGTGGAAGGTGTCTGGAGCCATGGAACCTTTCTAGTGAACCCCAAATTTCACCTTGTCCTGAGTTTGATTTTAAGAATCGAAATAGAAATTCTCCACTCCTACAAAATAATTTCCTGTCAAGAGCAGTCTTTCTTCATGATCTCATTTCTCAAACTGCCCATAGACACGGTAAATGCTAATAATTCTCAATTCTCATTCCTTCTGAAATCAACAAATATTAGTCATCTGCTTATTCACTGCCAGACATGGAGTATGGTACTCAAGATAGGCCCAAGGCTTTGCCTGAGAGAGATGACTATCAATGATGCTAAGAGGAATTTGACCAACACATACGAGAAAGATGATAAGTAGAATGATAAAAAAAAAATACAATACTCAGGAAACACAGGTGGCCAAACTTAGGTCAAGGATTAGGTAAGTCTGTGCGAAAGAAGGGTGCTAACCAAAAACTCTCTATGAGGAGGAACAAGCTTGATAGATTGGGCAGGAGAAAAACTCGAAGGCACAGAGACAGAGTCCCCTGAGCCAAGCCACAGCATGTGCAAAAGCACCAGCAAGCAAGACAGCAGGATCCAGAGGTTCCACAGCTGAAGTGTGGGTTGGGGTGGGGAAAGGAAGAAAGGTATTCGTTGGGCTGGGAAGGTGGCTCAGTGGCAGAGTGCTTGCCTAGCATGCATGAAGTCCTGGGTTCCATTCCTCAGTATCACATACATGAAAAAGCTGGAAGTGGTACTGTGGCTCAAATGGTAGAGTGCTAACCTTGAGCAAGAGATGCTCAGGGACAGTGCCCAAGCCCTAAGTTTAAGCTCAGGGACACCCAAGAGCCAGGACATGACTTTGTACTTCATTCTAAAGGAAAGCAAGAGTGTGGGGTTTAGGATTTCAACCAGCTGGGCTGTTTGCTGCTATTAAACTTACATATGGCTTTGTAAGACTTGCCGTGCAACCATGTATGCTGTGATACATCCTACCGATGATGTGACAGATGGCGGGTGACCCTTCTCAAGGAAGTCTGGGCAGCAGAGCTGAGAGGCTGTGAGGAAGGAAGAAGGCACTGCCGCATCACAGTAACAACCTAAACCCAACAGAGAGGAAAGGATGGCATACTCTCACCAGGCACTATGGAAAAGCCAGAGAGCCAAGCGAAGGAGCCCTGGGACTTACTTGTAACTTCACAGAATTGTCCCGGATCACCATTCTATTGCTGGCCTTTCAGAACCCTGCTGAAGAGGGGAAGCAGGGTGGGCTTCTGGGTGTCATTGATCCTGGTCACCATTGACCCCAAAATCAAGAAGGAGCTCAACTGGCATGAAGCAGCTCTCGTGGACTTAGCAATCAGAGTGTGTTGGATACGAAGCTTATTCCTTCTAACTTGGGCAACTGCCACAACCTGAGTCTCAGTCTTCCCACCCTTCACACGGTGGTAATTATTGCCTCTGAGCATGTCTGACAGGCCACTAGAGCATCCCGGGTACACAGGGGAGCTTCTGCCAGGCAAGAATCTCACACTGCTCAGCATCAGACTACCTGAGTTCTACACCAAGCACATCCCTCCCGCAAGATCAAGAAATACAGAAGGGGAATTAAGAAGCCTGCTCATAGCTGGGCCTCGGTGGCTCACGCCTGTAATCCTAGCTAATCAGGAGGCTGAGATCTGAGGATCATGGCTCAAAGCCAACCCTGGTAGGAAAGGCCATGAGATTCTCACCTCCAATAAACCACCAGAAAACCAGAAGTGGCACTGTGACTCAAAGTAGTAGAGTACTAGTCTTGAGTGAAAAACCTGAAGGACAGCACCCAGGCCCTGAGTTCAAGCCTCACAACCAAAAAAGAAAAAAAAAGCCTGCTCATCAGGTGTAGGTGCTCTTGAAGTGACTGCTCATTTTGGGGGGGTAGGGTGTTCTGGGGGTCTGAACTTGTGGCCTTGGAATTATTAGGCAGACAATCTACCGCTTGAGCCACACCCCCAGCCCATTTTTGTTTTACTTGTGTTTTAGATTGGACTAGTCCTGGATTGCAGTCCTTCTACCTTGGCTACTTACAGAGTGAGGACTGCAGAAGTATGTCACCCCCTGTGTCTGTGGCTAAAGATGTGGAACTCACTCACATTTGCCAGAGCTGGTCCTGAACCATGGTCTTTCAGATCTCCACCAGCTCAGTAGGAAGGATTCTATACCTGAAGCCACCTCTGTGTCTCTGAATGTGCACTCTTGAAGTGGCAGAAAGTAGCTGTTTTAACTTGAGAGTGTGCGCTTGGTTCTTATCTGTGTGGATATTCACACACATAGCAGGAATATGCTGCTAATTAAGTATTCATGAGGCCATTTTCCCCCAAAACAAATACATAATTAAGATGTCAGGGTATGCATGTGTGAGTGTGTGTATGTGAGCACCAGAGAAGAAGAGAGACAGAAACAGAGAGAGAAAGACAGACATGGAGACAGATGAGAGAAACAGAAAAACAGAAAGAGTCCCTTCTATTATATACCATTATACGTATGGTATATACAGTTTGTGACTTTCCTGAAATCACAACAGCAAATGTATTCCCAATTTGACACTGGTTATCTTCAAGTACAAGGTTGGCAACCTAAACAACGCTTTCTCCATTTGCATGAAACACATCAGGACAGGCTGCCTGTGTGCGTCCTTTTCCTCTCTCTAGCTGAAGCTGCTGTTCCTTGAGGAAGACCAGTGTCCTAATGCCTAAAATAGGAAAGGCGTGGTGCTCAGATCACCATTCTTCTCACAAAAGAAAAGGCACGCTGGGTGCTGGTGGTTCACACATGCAATCCTAGCTACTCAGGAGGTTGAGATCTGAGGATCATGCTTTGAAGCCAGCCTAGACAGAGACTCCATGAGACTCTTCCTTCCACTTAACTACCAAAAAATCCAGAAGTGAAGGTGTGGCTCAAGAGACAGAGCACCAGTCTTGAGCAAAAATAAATAAATAAATAAGACAAGCAAGAGCACAAATCCCTGAGTTCAAACCCTAATACTGTCATGAAAGAGAAACATAAGCCCCAAAAGCTGATGGGGACAAGTGAGCCAAATTGGTAGAAATGGGGTTCAGAGGGCTTCCTTTACAATTCTGCAAGGACAGGGACCGTCCTTACAATTCTGTAAGCTCAGGAGAAATCTGACAAATTATTTGACTGGGAAACTGGATTGTCCCATTAAATCCAAGCTATATTACTTCCCATGATACACCCTGCTCTATCAACACCACTCTCTTCATGGGCTCTAGAAACTTCTCCAAGCTGTCAGAAGGTAACCTCACATCACATCTTTAAAAAAAGATGTTAGGTGATGATCACTTGCCACAACCACCCAAAGGCTAGAAGCTGACACAACAGGAAATAGGGGAGAGATCTACATTCACCTTTGTTCCTCTCATGAAAGAAGAGGAAACATCCTTCTAACAGGAGGGAGGACCCTAGCCATAGGTTGACTTAACTTTGGTACAACGATCTGTGCTGGACAAGGTGAAGATGTATCCAGGAGGGGAAGAGAAGAAAAGAGAGGAGGAGAACTCAGAGGGAGACTGTGGACTCTACAAGGTGACTTTTTCCTGGTAAACACCTCAAATCTTCCAGGAAGTTGTTCAGACTCACCAGCATGCTTGCAGGAATGTTGCTCATGGTCCTTGGCGAGGAGCTGTGGTGTACTGCTGTGTTACAGGGGTGAACGCAAGGCAGTAGGTTTGGCATTGCTGACTTCCTATATCCTGAACAGGTTCAAGCTCTCTGAGATCAAGGATTGCTCCCCAGGGAACGAACCCAAGTCATTCCTAGAAAACTACTGAACGATCGCCAATTTCATCCTGTGCCCAGTGCTGAAAAATGCACCTGCCAGTGGGGTCTTCCTCTCCAGCCCTTCCAACAGCAAACCAGCCCGGGAACCAACCACAAGTCTGTGCCCATTACAGAATACATTCAGCAAGTGTCCTAGGGCATCATTAGCCACACACCAATGGCTTAATGCCATCACGCAAAAGGGACCCAAGTTAGCCCTTCCAAACGACCTACCACATAAAGAAGATCAGAGGGAAAGAAGAGGAAGAAGGCAGCAAAGGAGGATAGATGGAAAGAGCAGAATGGAATCAACTTATGCCTTGAGTAGGGGGCGCTGCCAGGCTCCCTTTCAGCAGCCACCTGAGCAATGTAAAGTTTCCTTATTGACGGACACAGAAATCATGGAGCTATTAGAATCTGGCAGGAAACCGTAACATTACTAGAACTCAAAAAACCCCTCCTTTCGCAAGAATATACATCTCAACCTCTCTTTCCTTCCATTTCAGACACAGACTAGTCAAACAGCACAGTTTTCTCCTCCGTAAAACACAACAAAATCACCTACATATCTATTGGACCAGAAACGGTTTCTATAACAAATGTGTGTATTTGCTCTGCTCCAAGTCCCCAAAATTAATTAACTTTCCCACAAGGGATCCATGCTGAGCAGCCCACCCTTTCCTACAGAGGCTGGGGCAAAGGGAGGCTGGGGAGAGGGGGAGGCTGGATGAAGGGACAGGGGAGGAAGGAGACAGTGGAGAACTCACCATTTGATTGCTATACCAGTACAGCGATGACCCCTTCAGCACCACCCAGAACTTTTTCCATTTGTTACTCAGGAAAGTTCCCTTCTCCTTTTTCTTATACAGCCACCCCTGGCAGTCGGCATGTCCCAGATCTTTACATGATATTCTTCTCCGACTCATCGTGAAAAAACCTGCAACAGTTACATGAAGAGGTACACATCACTCCATGTATGTGACAGAGGGGGGGAGAGGGAGGGAACTTTTAATTGTTTACCTCCCAGGAGTTAGATTTTTCACTAAGATTTATGCATAGTAAATGCAAAAAAAGAAAAAGAAAAGAAGAAAATCTCATGCATCTGATTTATTTTTAAATTACAGTCCCTGTCTAGAAGATATAAAATCTGGGCAAAAAAAGCAATGATGCTGACTGGCAAGTATTGGTCTGAGAATATTATTTGCCAAGAAGAAGTTGGAAATATTAACATCTCCAGGCTGGCAGACACACTACTGCAGTCACACAGCGCCTTCTGACAATAATAGCACGGTTATGCAATAGACAGGGAAGGGTTAAAGCCCACCTAAAAACACAGCCCCTTGCCCGGCAGCACCAGCTCTTCTAAGCTCCAGTGACAGACATCCCACCACACCACAAGGGACTAAGCCACATGAACAGCGTGGCGTCATTTCTTAAAACCAATCCAAAAATAACTGTAAATTAATCTGACATCCACCTCCTGATAGTACCATTCAAACAGACAAGAACCTGATTCTCAAGAAAGCATCCAGGAGAAAATTCACACACACACACACACACACACACACACACACACAGGGTCAAGGAAACAATAGAATTACCTTGAGTTTTCTTCCTTGGCTTCTGACGCAAAGGGACCTGCTGAAAATGCAGGAAGGAAAGAAAAGAGGAAATTTCTGATTGTGTTGTAACATTTGTAAAGAGAGAAGGAGGGAGGAGGTGGCAGTGTTTATCAGCAGGGTGGATTCTAAAAAAAAAAAAAAAAACTCTCCAAGCAGAGCTTACGGGGAGCTACGGGCTGAGACACTAAGGGTGCTCATTAGAATCAATATATATGGAGTGAACCTGAAAAACAACAACAAAAACAAGTAGAGAACATTTACCACTAATCTTTCCCGTTTGCACTTCTCAGCAGCGCTCACTGCTACCTGGTGATGCTAGCACCACGTTCAGGGAAGCTGCCAAAAATCACAAATATTTCCCGCTTGACATCTTTGTAAAAAGCCCAGGTTCTTGTTTTATAATTTCTAAATAATGATGATTTAAAAAAAATAAGCCTGAAGATAGGTTTAGAACCTCACAATATTCTAAGTTCTCATTGGACTAAGTTCATGGTCCTGCTACTACCCAGAGCTGTACCCAAAGTCTATGAATTGAGTAGCTCAAGGAAAGATATTCTGTTATCTCGTGTCAGGTGATCCCAGCCCACTGTATTAAGAAATGGTTAGATTGGCCAAAGTTATACTTCTTATTCTATCTTTATCTCTGAATTTCTCACGTTTTATGGAAGAGAAACTTGTTATTATAGAAACTTGTTATCAGACGACTCCATTCCAGCTCTCCAAACATTCAAGTCAGACATATGACAACATAACTAAAATATACCATAATCCATATGAGCTCTTCAAATATTCAAGTCAGACCTAAGACAATATATCTAAGACATACATAATCCATACTGACTTTTTGAATATTCAAACCAGACATCTGACAACATTCCTGAAATATACATACTTTTTCACAGGACATGTTTAATGTAATTTTGTTGTTATGATTAAGGTGTTACTCAGAGAGGTTACCATTTCATAAGTCAGGTAATGAGTACAATTCTTTCTGGTCAACGTCACCCTTCCTTCCTTTCCCCTGGTATCTCCTTCCCATCCCTGCCCACAATGATGACACACGACACAATTTGTATAAAGTCAGACTAGCAGCAAAACTAGGAAACAAGAAACAAAATTCTTTCAAATTTCTATGCATGCACGTGCATGCAGATGTGTGCAAAGGGAATTTTAGCTTAGACAAGTTTCATGTTTCTTTGGCAATATCTAACTGATTTTCCTCAGGTTTAAATAACTTGTCTTTATATTAGCAAGTAGAGAATTCAAGAAAGAATTAAAAAGCATAAAATTGGTAGCTCTAAAAGTAATCTTAAGCAATTGTGTGGCATTCATGATTCATGATGCATCGGGCTGTATTCTATATAACTATTGTCCTAACAGCTACTTATGGGGTTCTACCATATGTTTAAAGGGACGCTATGATGCAAATGTAATCCTAGCTACTCAGAAGGATAAAATCTGAGGATCAGGGTTGGAAGCCAGCGTGGGCAGGAAAGTCCATGAGACTCTTATCTCCAATTAACTACTAAAAACAAAAGCCAGAAATGGAACTGTGGTTCTAGTGGTAGAATACTTGTCTTGAGCAAGAGATGTCCAGGGATGGTGACCAAGTCCTCAGTTCAAGCTCCAGGACTGGCACACACACACACATACACCTGATATTTTTTATAGGCCAAATATCAAAAACAAAATCAATATAACCCATACTATGTATATACAAGATTTTTCCCCAAATATGCATAACATTTAGATCAGTAAAATTTAGCTATGAGCCAGAGTCAAAGGCAAAGAGAACACACAGATTTAATGAGAAGCAAGCTTTGGGAAAGTTGGGATTGAAGAATTCCCAGGGATCAGAGTGTCTGTGTGTGTGTGTGTGTGTGTGTGTGTGTGTGTGTGTGTGTGTGAATAAAGAGGAGTTTCCATAGGTCTTCTCAGAGTGCTCCAGACCCAGACCCATGACAACATGGTACCTCAGTAGAGTGAGACTGTCTGCTTGTTTTTGAAGGAGAGCAGCAGCACGGCTCCGCTCTGTTGGTACTTCTCCTGAAACAAGTCACTGACTGTCAGCTGTTTTCCCTGGCCAGAAACAACTGCATTCTCTAGAAATAATAAACTACGAGGAGTTTTGGTTTCACTTAAGAGATGTGACTTTGAAACCTTAACTGGTTCCTGTATGAGATACATTTTCCTCCTCGCCACAGGAAGTAGAACCCACAAGCCAGTCAGTTTCAAGACCATCATGTGCATTTTTTTTCACTAGGTAGGTAAAAATAGTCAGCAGCCAGTAGAACATTTTATGAGGCAGTTTGAAAGAGGGGGATTAAAACTTGGATCACAATGCTGAGATCTAATACATTCATACATTAGTAAGACTCCTAATACATTCTCCCTTCTGTTTTCTTTCAGTTGGGTGTTAAAGACAAGCTTAAATTCTGAAGAATTTAACTTTCCTTAACTCAGATCTAAAATTTGGGGACTATTGAAAATACCTATTATATTTTTTATTGAAGATGTACACTTTTACTTTTTTAAAAGTGGTGCCATTAGCTATATACACAGAGGTATGGGAAGGAACCTTCTTTGATGTGTAACGATAGAGTTCAGGAGATTACAGGTGATACTGACTTCTAGATAGACTACTGTTAACTCTTGCATCCACTATTTAACCTAAGGTGTATTAAAATTCAGAATCAAACAGTTTGTCACTAAACATTACACTTCTTGTACAAGAAGAGGTTATCACTTAGGATAGTAATTTTTTAGGGGCTAGAGGAAGGCATTCTGTCAGGGAACTATTACCTATAAACAAAGATGATCTTGGTTTGATCCAAAAAAGAAAACTACTATGGAAAAATAAAATGGCTATTGTTTTAAAAAGTGATAGAAATAGCTGGGCTCTGGTGGTTCACGCCTGTAATCCTAGCAACTCAGGAGGCTGAGATCCAAGGATCTCAGTTCAAAGCTAGCCCAGGCAGCAAAGTCTGTGAGACTCTTATCTCCAATAAAAACCACCAGAAAACCAGAAGTGGTGCTGTGGTTCAAGTGGTAGAGTGCTCGCCTTGAGCTGAAGAGCTCAGGGACAGTGCCCAGGCCCAGAGTTCAGGCCCCATGACCGACAAAAAAAAAGTGATATAAATATATTGCTGATAGGGTATGAGTTAAGTTTATTTTCTACAACTACACTTGATGAAGACATGGATAAAACCTTCATGCCTCTGCGAAGTCATCTGTACATGGAGGGAGAAGATCATAAAAATTATTTCTAACCAAAAACAAAAAAATTACACTTCATAGTGACTGGTCTTCACCAAAAATTATGGAGTGATATGCTGGTAAGTAAGCACTCTGGTTAAAGTAGCTCTTATTGTGTCATTTGCTATTTCCCATGGTGCAATTCTTCACCTTGAAGGCATTTTATTTTTCTTCAAATCTGTTGTTCATTTTAAAGTAACAATGCTTAAACAAGCCAAGAAAACAAGAAACCTGAACCCATAGACACATTTCATGATCTGTCTTCTCTATAAACAACTTTACTTATTCCTTGAAAACTAAGCTCAGCTTTTAAGAGAAAATTATAAACATTTTGATTAGTTAAACGTTGCCTATGATTATCCATTTTTAACACTTGCAGGATTAGACATGTAGCTCAGCAGTAGAGTACCAGGCATGGACAGGCCCTGGGTTCCATGTCCAGCACCACAAGAAAAAAAAATACTTAGTTTAATTCTTAGATGACAACCACCAAAAGTTTTACCTAACACATTAATAGGGAATGAAAAATATCTCCACATGTGAACAGTGAAGATGGATGATAGACATTTTGAGCTTGGATAAGGCCATCTAGAATATGGACAGAATGACCCTAGAGTCACTGTGAAGTAAAATGGAGCAAAAGAAAAGAAACCCCATACGAAGGCTGAGCAAAAACATAACCAAAGACAAAAGCAGAGCAAGGAGTAGCATGGAAGTGATGGAGAGAGTCTGAGAAAGGTGGGTCCGAACCACATACTTCTACTAGTATAAAAAATAAAGGACTCAGCCTGGCACCGGTGGCTCATGCCTATAATCCTTGCTATTCAAGAGGCTGAGATCTAAGGATCACAGTTCAAAACCATCCCAGACAGGAAAATTCGTGAGACTCTTATCTCCAATTAATCACCAAAAGCTAGAAATGGAGCTATGGCTCAAGAGGTAGAATGCTAGTCTTGAGAAAAAAAAACTCAGGGATAATGCCCAGGCCCTGAGTTCAAGCTCCAGGGCAGGCACACATAATGATGATGATGATGATGATGATGATGATGATGATGATAAATAAAAGATTCATTAAAGATCTTGGCAAAAACAATTACTGTGTGGGGTTATAAGACAAATTCCAGTGAGGTGAGAGATGACCAGGAATTGGGGAAATAAACACAGGATAGCAGATTACTCTTTCAAGAATTCTCACTGGAAAGAGGAGACATGGAGTTTAGGAGGGCTTTGTACCAAGCAAGAAGAATGCTACATGCTCCCTTCAAAACAATCCTTCTGTGCATGAAATCGTGACTACAGTGAGAAGAGATCCAAGTGATTCCGCAGGACAGCACTGAAAGTGCCCAATAGACTCACATCTGACGTACTAAATGCCCATTTACTTCTAACATCAGCCAAGTTAGGGGACTGAACGTTATTCCAAGACGTTTCTCACTCCAAAATTGGTACACCCATAGAGGGGAAAAATCCCTTCGATGAACTGACTTTACACTTGAACCCACACAAAGAGATGCCTTGAAGGTAAAATGGCCTCTGTTGAGTTAATCTCTAGGTCAACCTAACCTACTGTTTCCCTTAAAACCACAGTACTTTCTGCAGCTTCCTGTCTCGACTTTGCCTTCCAAATAACAGAATTTGGAACACAAGAAGCAGCAGAGCTGAGGCGGGGCATCATGGGAACAGAGGTAGCTAATGAGACCCTCCAGCCCTTACCCATAATGGATTCCCCTAGGCAGATCCCATCCAAAGTCCACATGAGCAGTTTGCTTGCTTGTTTGTTCATTTATTTCTGCCCTAAGACCACCTCTCAAGGGGAACCTTTAGGAGTTTTGGATACAAGATTTGTGAGCAAGAGTAAAAGACTCCTACATGAGTGTGACTCACGTGTCACACCCCGAACACTTTTACTACAGCCATGCCAACGCAGGGCTATGCTGATCCCACCTAAACACCAACTCACAAAGTGTTGGCTCTTTTCGATTAATCAGATAAGTGAAAAGCTAAGCCCCCACTCCACCCCTGACCAAGACAGAGTGAGGGGAAGGTGGGTTCTCGGTGGGCAGAACTCATGCCGGGGATGATAGCTTCTCAGGGTTGCCACAGAAAGACCAAGGTATAAATGCTTCCTGAGCTGCGAATTCAGGTCTTTCCTGTGCAGAAAACACAGGAAGTACCAGCCCCCGACTTGCACACCACTCTCCTCCCACAGACAAGCCCAGATTACAGCAAACAACCCCACCACACAGCCAGCCACGAACAACCACACGTTTGCTGAACTTTTCCTCTTCGGCATAAAAACCAGACCCAGGAAGGACGACATATGTAGGAAGTTGTTTCAGGGAAAAGTTTTCGCATGTTATTTTTGTCTTATGATATTATGTAACAAAGGAATTTTATTTAGAAGATTTCTTCGGAAAACACTATAATAAAGGTTTGATCTGAGATAATTTTAGCATTTTTTTCTCCACTCACACTACCTCTAAAAACAACGGCATTTAGGCACTTTGGTAGGACAATTGTGGATAACAGTCGAAGAGAGATCATCTGTCTCATTCTCTTGTCCTAGACGTTCTTAAATTGTTTTATTTGTAAGCTATCAAACTTAGAATTTTTCTGTACTTCTTATCTCCTTTCTCTGTCTTCTGGATTTAGTTGGTTTCATTGTTTATTTCAGATAACTATTTTTGTCCTATCTTTCTGAACCTATAATATACCTTTTGAAGGAAAAACAATAGGTTGTTTTTTATTCAATAGGTAAAATGTTGTTACTAACACTTATCTAAGACCAGAAGACATTCCTCTTGGTGGTACTGGGATTTGTACTCAAGGGCCTGTAATCACTAGGCAGGCATTTTACCACTGAGCTATGCCTACAGCCCACTTTGGTATTGTTTGTTTATGCCAGTACTGGGCCTGGGCACTGTCCCTGAGCTTCTTTTGCTCAAGGCTAGAGCTTTACTACTGGAGCCACAGCACCACTTCTGGCTGTTTCAGAGTAGTTTATTGGTGATCAGAGTGGCCCATACTTTTCTCCCCCAGCAGGCTTTGAAAAAGGATGCTCAGATGTCAGCCTCCTGAATAGCTAGGATTACAAGTGTGAGCCACTGGCTCCCAGCTTGGTTGTTTTTGATATAGCATCTCACTTCCTACCTGAGCAGATACCTGGACTGCAATCCTCCTATTTTTTTCCATTTCCTTGGTAGCTAGCATGACATGTGTGTGCCAGCACACCCACTTTTCTCCAGAGAGGGAATCTCATGGACTTTTCTGCTCAAGTTTGTGATCTTCCAGGTCTCAGCCTCCTAACATAGCTGGGATAATAGGTATGTATTCTGCCACTGGGCCCTGCTTGTAAGACTAGAGAACATTTAAGACTTAAAAGTGGAAGAAGCTGGTAAATTCATCACTTTTGGTTCTCTATGCAGGTTTACCTTTATAATTCTGCTGCTTCCTTTAGAAGACATCAAAACAAGACTATCCAGAAACAAACAACTCAGCCTAACAACAGCGGGGAATTCTTAAGGGTTTAGTATTTAAACCTAGAGCACGATTCACTATACAAACTTCAATGATCAACTACAAAGCCATCAAACATCAACAGCAAACAACAAACTGGTCTTAACTGTGTCCTCCATCTCCGAGGAGTCTGTGAGCTGCTCTTCTTCCTACCCCAGCACCAAGCAGAGCACCCGACACAAGTAGGTCTGTTCAATGTTAGTTTAGTGGAAATGAAGGGCAGTTGGGTGTGATTAGGCCAAAGGTGTCAAACCCACTGAAACTACCAACACAAAAATAGGTCCTCTATGCTGCGTTTTATTTAGGCAACAGATGACAGCAGAAAATTGAACTAATTTCCTAAATGGAAGGATAAAATAGAGTAACCACCGCAAAGGCAGCTGGAAGAAATGTTCTGAGAGATGCTAATGCACCACATAGGCACTGATGGGCGTACGAGAAATAACAGGTAATTGCCAAGGCAGGGAGCTAGGCTGATGGAGCCTATAGGGTAGAGGATGGCTCGTGAAATGAGAAAAATCCAGAAATAGCCAGTTTCCACTAAAGGACAAAATGCATTTGTGCCTTGATCGACGGAAACAAGTTCCATGTTATAGATGTAAGAGCTCTAGATGTGGGAGTGTGTGGATCGTAATATTGTCCCTTGATTATCTTATCTGTGTTTATTTTGTCTAGTGCATGAGTTATATATTTTTCTGCCATCAATAGAAGGGGCTGGGAGGTAGCTCAGTGGCAAAGTGCTTGCCTAGCATAGTGCAACTTTGTGGGTTCATTCCCTGTACCAAAAAGGGGAAGACCAAAAAAAAGAGATTTTTAACTTGACTAAAGTCAATTAAAGATCCAATTCTTCTCTACTACAGTTCCAGAAGGATATAATAAGTGTGGATATTAAAAGCATATTTCAACACATGAATGAGGTGGTTAAAGTGCTTAAAATTTTAAATTCTCTCTACTATCTTAACTTCCATTTCTTTTTAAACACATGAGATGAGTGATTTCCTGTTGGAAGATGGCATCCACTCAGTGGGAAAGGTAAAACAACGCAAGAATTGAACACATCCCAAGTGCCTGACAACCCTGGCGATTTCTTTTACTTCTATGCTCTATGTCCCCTATAAAGGTATGCTTGTGTGACACATACACATGGTAAGTATAAGCGTTGTAACATTTCTCATAAATTTCAGTTACCCTGATTTTTATTCTTCCTGACTTCCTTGTCTCAGGTCTGTGATATCTATTTGCTTTCACCCCAGACTATATAACCTTCTTTTAATGCCATGTATTTACATTGTTTATCTACTGTCAGCCTCATGTATTCCCTTACTTCCTCTTATTTGTCTTCATCAGGGTGATTCATATTTCTATTACCAAAAACATCCATCCATTCGTGTCTAAGTACCCATCATTCCTTTTCTCATTGTTTTAGATGGAAAATTTCCTACACTATAACTGGCTATAATCTATAGGGGTTTTTTTTTGTCCTTTCTCCCACAAAGTTCCCACTACTTTTTTCATCACTAACAAGCAGTGCTTCCTTGCAAAGTATTACTCATTGATCTCTCTTTCTATTCTGGGGTTTGAAATTGTCAGCAAACCAACCTGCTTCTTGCTATTCTATTGAATATTGGAATACTGAATATTGGAAGCCATCATCCACCCTCTTGATTCAGCTGGAAGCCTGTATACTCCTCTCTTGACACTTCAGAGTCTGTGTTTAGCTCTACTCCAAAGCTCTGTCTATGTATCATCATGAAGTCCTGTGATTGCCAAAAGATGTATACTCTCCAGTCCCACACCAACCCTCATCTCCTTCTATGAGAAACACGACATTGCTCACATAAACTTGTTCGTTCTTCCTGTATCAATCCCCCCCCATCAAACTCAGATACCACACTGGCTCAGTTACTTACCTGTCTAAGGCAAATGTATGACCATATACTTGTCTCCCCAAAAGCACCTTCAATAGCAATAAAATCAATGTGCTTTTTCCTAAGGAGGTTACCTTAGAGATTGCACTAATACTATATTTTTATATATTTACTTTTTATATATTTACTATATATTTAGCATCTTCTTAAACCAGGTAATTTGGTTCAATAGATGGTTATATTTCTTCACCTTTTGCCACATCTTACATTGGTACCGGACCATAAGACCTTTGAAATTGACAATAGGGTTATGGGCTCCATTGTAGCTAATAGAGGACAATAAAGGAAGCCAAAGTTAACAATCAACTTGTATATTATTTTACTTATTCATCATACCAGCCATGTTTAAATGCTGGCATGTTCTGAGAAGTACTTACAAGAGTGCTGCCATCAGTAGCCATGTACAGACCTCCGACTGGTAGGAGCAAGAGCTAGGAGAGAAGAAATACTTCCAATTACCTATGGGTACAAATCTTTATAAAGTTACACATTACATTAACTCGAAGGATAGGGTATTTGTAGTGTGACTAGTGAGTTTCAGAATAAAGAAAACTCATCCAATCACTTCTTATTACAGAACCCAATAAACCAAATCTTTAAAAGAAAATATAGGGGCTGGTAAGGTGGCTCAGCGCTTGCCTTGCATGCATGAGGCCCTGGGTTTGATTCCTCAGCACTACATAAGCAGAAAAAGCCAGAAGTGGCGCTATCGTTCAAGTGGTAGAGCGCTAGCATTGAGATGAAGAGCTGAGGGGCAGTGCCCAGGCCCAGAGTTCCTGCCCCATGACAGACAAAAAAAGAAAAGAAAAGAAAACAGAGTTTCATCTCAACATTTTTCAATGTTTTTCAAATCAAGAAACAAATCCAAGTATAGGATTAATACACTTAACTTCACATTATTTTTGAGAAGTGAATACATTTTTTTGCCCTTTGTGATGAACAAGTGCAGAAGATACAGACTTATTTTGGCCATTGCTATTATCTACTTTCCGAAATGTAACCAATCCCCTCCATCCTCAGAGGTCCCAGCTGCTCATCCAGATGAGCCTTTGTGATCCACTCAGTGGATACAGAAAAACAAATGAGAAAACAAAGCAAAGAACCCTCCTATTCTTTGTCTTTAACAAGCAGGAACCTTGTTAAAGATCCACAAGCCACTGAAACTCCTGAAATCACAGAACTGCTTACACTCCCAGTGCCACAAGTTCAGTCCACATAAATGGTACTGGATTTCTTAACGCCAGCCGTCAACAAATTTTAAGAATAGACGTGATCTTTTAGTGCCAAAATGCTTTATTTACATTACATAGATATGAATAAGACATCTTGTAAAATGCAAATAAAAGAGAAACCACAACATCTTTTAAAAGACTGAAACTTTAGTTACTTAATTTTTTAGTTAATTAAATTTTTAAAAATCAAACACATACTAGAGGAGTATTTGTAAAATTACCTTAAAATATAATAAAATCACAATCTAAAAAATTCTTTCACAACAGTAAAAATAAGCAAATTAATAAGCATGAAAGAAAACTTAAAAAGTAAACATCGAAAATGCTTAAACATTTGTAGTAAAAATAAGTACAAATAAGCAGTAAGACGGCTAGGAAAAATTAAGCACTGGAATTCATATTTGTGGAGGTGGAAAGAATAGATTCACCTGTTGCTGGGATGTCAAATCATTACAGCCTAGCTGGAGGGCAATTTGTCCTGGCGACAATTATAATTAGTACACACTTGAGTTTCTACTACGTGCCATGAACTGGGCTTATGTTGACCACACTGAATATGAGAAGAGTACTGTAATATGTCACTAGTCTTTAAATTCTTATTCCATCAGAAAACATGATATTATGTCATTTGCAGGAAACATGGATAGACCTAGATAAAATGATGCTAAGTGAAGTAAGTCAGGCCCATCTGTGGAAGGGAATACTAAATCCTACATACACATGTAAACATGCACAGGGCCATATGCATATCTGCACAAATATACCAACTATAAGTATGTTATATGCAGGGAAGAGTCTTAACTCCTTTGAACAGGTGCCAGTCTAGTGAAAGGGGGAAACTGAGGTGTGTTGGAGGGGTGGATGAAGTCATCAAGAAGAGGTGGAGTAGACAAAGGCAGAACAGAGAAAGGTTGAGCAAACACACTCATAATATTCAGTGTATACTTTGTGAAAGTGGAACCAAGTAAATCAGGGGGTAGCTGGGGTTGGAAGAGACAGATGGAAAAGAAGGAATGGCACTGATCAAGATGCATTGTACCATAAATTGACATATTGAATTGAAACCACTTTTGACAACTACCCAAAGATAATTATGTTTTTTCATCTGTACTGAATGATCCCATGTATTTATGTGATAAAACCATAACTTTTCACAAATCCACCTTCATACATCAAAGTAATTAAGGTAAAAGTTGAAATATATTTCCAGGGGTGAAAAAAAATCTATAGTAATTATCTTTGGAAATTAAAATAACCAGTAATTCATTTTTATTCCCCTATGCGTTATTTCCTATGATAGGCTTTTATTTATAAAATAATATTACTGAGATACTATTATAAATACTTTATCAACTCTTCATACCAATGTATTTTTAGCACCTATTGATTGGGAGAATATATTATTAGCAAAAGCGAGATGAAATTCAGCAGTCCTTTTAGGTAAAGATAGAGATGTAATGAAAAAGTTAACAGGATGCACTGTTAATTGAAATAGAATAGGCTTGGATTTCAGTCTGGTGACATAGTAAGTGAATGAAACCTTTTGCGAGTAATTGATACTTTCATTCCTCAGATAACCACCCATGAAATGGGATGACAGTCTTTCTTAAGTTTGATGAAATGTTCAAGAAGGTAAATCTTCATAGCACCCATAGCAAGATCTCAGACAGAACCAATTCTCAAGAAATTATTTCATTATTGTAAAATACATTGAATCCTTTAGCACTTATTAAAGATGACTCACCTATAAAGAATCCCTATGGAACCCTTTCCCCCACAGATGACCAGTTATCTTTCTAATAATAATGCAATGGCTGATTTTATTCAATCAAACCCACTGAAGACTTTGTTGTACCATGCCATGTAATTGTCAGTCACCTTAAGAAAATATATGATTAGGAGCCCCACTTCTTTTTTTCCTTTATATTAACTATACAAAAGATATTAGCCTGACTTCTTAGAAGAGACAGTGTGGACAATTTAGATAAAGAAGTTGGTCAATTTAGATAAGGAAGTTAGTGAATGCTCTTGCTTTCATCCTCTCTCTTACAGTGTCCACTCTACTTGAGCTTCCTACTGGAGGCACCAGCTCTCTTCGTCCTGGACCCCAGCAAGAGCATCTAAGCCAATATCCCTGCTTTGCCTCTGGCCCAGAGTGACGTTCATTTTAATGGACTTTTCATCTCTTTCCTTAAACCCCTGCAGTGGCCACAAGCTTTGAACATCCTGAAAATTTGTTCCAAGATAAGCTTAGTACCATCTCTTCTTAGAAAGTTTCAGTGTTTCTTTCTCTTTATTTCCCTGCCTAGTTAGCCTTTTTAAAGAATCCTTAAATGTATTTCTCCTAGAAGTGGTGCTGTGGCTCAAATGGTAGAGCACTAGCCCTGAACACAAAAAGGCTCAGGGATAGCACCTAAGCCCAGAGTTCAAGACCCAGGACTGGCAAAAAAAAAAAAAAAGTACTTCTCCTAATCTCAGTACTTGAATATACAATTTTCCCCAATAGTCCCTTCCCCAAAGGACTTATACCATCTGATCTGTGTGTCACTTAGTCAAGAAAACCTTCCTTGATCACAGTGAGAACAAGCACCTTTTATATGCTATCACTGTACTTTCCTTTATCCATAGATGTGCTTATCATTGTAGTGACTTATTAGTTTGCAATTGGTTCTTTACCAGTTGATTTCCGACTGTAATATAATCTCCTGTGTCCTATTACATCCATATGTATATTGCTACATCCCTAGTCTTTGTACACAAGGTAATTCAATAAATATTTGCTAAAAACAAATTAAAAATCGCCAAATTATGAGTTTCCATATAGAAACCTATAACTTCCCAAATTACATTTTGTAGACTATTACAACAATAAAACTCAGCTTCCCAATCTATAGGATATGAAAATGAAACCACATGAGACTTCCTTCAGTCAAAGAGTAAATGGACAGAAACCCAAGGCAGTGGCTGACCTGTGGGAATGAGGCGAGATTCAGAGGGCCGGGGAGAGGGCAGGAATAGATGTCTTTTACGCAGCGGCCTCTGAGCATTTCATTCGTGGTATTGGCCTTCCACTTCGTATTTTGAAGTAGTTGACATAGGTGAAATCAAAATAATGTAAGTTCAGCTTTCATTTCTCCTCTTCCATACAAAGCACATAGCCGTAATCAGGAAGAACTGGGATGACCAGTACAAATGCACGTGTTCCTTGCCAACACGATGAAAACCAGCTTGGATATGCAGGTTACATAGTACATGGCAGCATATTACCATGACCTGAATATTTAATATTTTATAAATAGCAATTTGTGTTTTAAAAAAAATAAGATGCTAGAAAGTGTTTTGAACATTGCTATTTTGAGAACTCCCCAATCTTTTCTGAAAGCATCAGTTAAAACAAGATGCATACAGGTCAAAGGTAATGGAAAACAATAATATGCATTTGGTATGGGTTGAGAAAGACTTTTTGTGTTTTGTTTGTTTGTTTGTTTATTTGTTTTTTAGGTCCGGTCATGGGGTCTGAACTCTGGTCCTGGGCACTGTCCCTCAGCTCTTCAGCTCAAGGCTAGCACTCTACCACTTGAGCCACAGTGCCACTTCTGGCTTTTTTCTTTTTGCTTGTGTGGTGCTGAGGAATCGAACCCAGGGCCTCATGCATGCAAGGCAAGCGCTCTACCACTGAGCCACCTTCCTAGCCCTGAGAAAGACTTTTTGTGTTCCTAGGAACTTAAAATTGAATAAAAGCCTAATGGCAGTGAAAAACAAAAAACACAATAAAAGAGATTTCCAATTCTTTGCCTTCCACAAAATTAAAGAAAAATCTGCATGAACTTCCTGTTGCCCATTAAAAGGAACTGTGATAAATTACTAAGTGATATTTGTCAGATGGCAGACCTCAAAAGCATTCATAAGGTATGCTTTGTCTATGTACTAGGTAATATATGGTCTATTAAAATACCTTTCTCTTTCACCTAACAGTACTAGTCAAAATATGCAACACATTTATGTTTGTTGAATTATATATCAATAATTATGATTACAACTCCAAGTAAGTTTGGCTTGCTTAAATAATTATACTATAACAAAACTTAATTGCCATTTAACTTGTATGCTTGACAGAATTATCAATAGAAGACTTTTTAAGGCATAAATGTATGCAATGGACATAAAATCCAACTGACAATGGAATAAAAGTCTCAGCA